CCACATAATGACGCTCTAATGATAACAGCCCAAGTGTCGGGTTACGAGGTGCAAAGGGTGTTCGTCGACACCGGGAGTTCGGTGAACGTGATCTTCTATAACTGCCTCAAGAGGATGGAGCTGGATCTTGAGTTAACGCCGTTGTATACATCACTTTTTGGATTCAATGGATCAGAAATTGCACCCCTGGGAGAAACCACTCTCGCAGTCGTCCTGGGAGAAGGAGACCTGCGGAAGGTCAAGATGGTAAGATTCGTAGTGGTCGATGTCGAGTCCGCCTACAATGTGATCGTTGGGAGGCCGGCGTTGAATGCATTCCAGGCGGTGGTGTCAACTTACCACATAAAATTGAAATTTCCGGTAGGAGGTCTAGTTGGAGAGGCTCGAGGGGCCAACGATTGTCGAGAACCTGCTATCAGATAGCAGCAAAAACTAACCAACGAATGGAAGTCAAGGAGGGTAAAAAACCAATGTCGAGTGAAAAAAGACCAAGGGGAGGCGACCTCGAACCACACGGAGAATTGATGGAAATTCAAATCGGGGAAAGAGAAAATCAAACCACCAAAATCAGGAGAGAATTAGAGGATGAGTTGCGCAGACAACTGGTGGAGCTGCTAAAAGAATTCAGGGACATATTTTCCTTTTCCCCTGGCGAACTGACGGGAATCGACCCAGACGTCATGGAGCATAAACTCAATGTCGATCCCCTGAAAAAGCCCATAAAGCAGCGACTCAGGCATCATGGGACCGAAATCGACAAAGCAATCGAGGTCGAGGTAGATAAATTACTAAAGGCCAAAAATATCAAAGAAATCCAATTTCCCTAATGGATATCAAACACTGTAATGGTGAGGAAATCACTGAACAAATGGCGCATGTGCATCGACTTTCACGACTTGAATCTAGCATGCCCCAAGGATCATTATCCGCTGCCAAGAATTGATCAGCTAGTCGATTCAACGGCCGGCTGCGAGTTATTGAGTATGATGGATGCATCTTAGGGATATCATCAAATCCCATTGGCCCCAGAAGATCAGAGCAAAGTGAGTTTTGTGACGAGCAAGGGGACATATTGTTACGTTATTATGCCCTTCGGACTCAATAACGCGGGGGCAACTTACCAGAGACTGATGGATCAGATGTTCAAATCGCAGATCGGATGCAATATAGAAGTATATGTGGACGATATCCTGGTGAAGAGTAGGTCCTCGACTTCGCATGTCGAGGACCTAAAAGAAACATTCAAGACACTAAGAACGTTCGGGATGAAGTTGAATCCGGGTAAATGCGCCTTCGG